AATCTATGACGATCGGTATCGAAAGACATTTTTTCAACTCAACCGAACATAAAAGTCGGGGGGAGTAAAACAAACATATTTACTCACAGGATAATAGGGAATCTCAAATTTACTTTGGTCGGCCGAGTATCCGACACATGCAGAAACCCATCAGCATGCTGAGTAGTGTCAACATCAAATACATATCTCCATGCATCCCACAAACACGTGGGAATCCCGTAAGAGATTGATGGAATGGATTGAGCACTCTCTACCTCAATGGATGCACTTTGTTTACCGAATTCAGGAGCGTATTAGTTGTGGATTGGCATGAGCCGAGGCTGAGGGACCAAAGTGTGCTTTGGTTGTACTGCTGTTGAGCAAGTAGCAAAAATTATAGAGCTTATCCCGCATTTTGCTCTCTGTCAAGCTTTCCCGTTGGTCCTTCAGCCAGCGCCACCCTACCGGAGATGGCTTTGGTTGCAAGGTTTACAAGTGCTGAATGGAATGACTGCCTGACCCAGGGATTGATCTCAATTCCGACATTCCATTGCTAAGTCATGTCAACTTGGATACAGTTGAGCTCCAAGGAGATTCCACTCATATAATCAAGTCTGACTTTCAATGTTCATGTGTGGCTTGACCGTCTCCACAGCTACCGCCGTTCTCTGACACGGCAAAAGCGGTCTTCTAATCCAACATCATCTTGGAAACTAAATACAATCCCAAAATACTTTTTTCGATCACCGACTACATCATCCGTGCCCCGCGCCTCCCACCGCCGCCCCCTCCCCCCAACCCCCCCTCCGTCTCAGGCCTCCTCAATCTTCGATTCAAATGCCAAGTCCGAGGAGGTCATCCGCCAGGCAGCCTCATTCACCTGCCCCTTGCCACCAACAAATACACCCTCACTGTCTCCCTCAACTTCCTCATCATCTGCTCCTACTACCACCGCCATTCTATATTCTTTCCTCTCTATCTCTTACTCCTCCCTCTCACAAACCATTACTTCCATTAAACCTGTAACCTGTTACCTCGACCACCTTCCCACCAACTCACTGGTCAGCCAGCACGCTCTCCTAAGCTCACTAATGGCTGTCATCATAAACAAGTCCCTCTCCTCCGTATCAGTCGCTGTCTTCCTAAAAACTGCTGTCATCCTGGAAAAACCCTGCCTAGCTCCCTCAAATCCCAGCCATTATCGCCATATTTCTAACCTGCCCTTCCTTTCAAAAGCTCTAGAACGCTTTGTTGCCAAACAACTTCGCGCACACCTCTCCTCCATCTCCCTCTTCGAAACCCTCCAGTCCGGTTTCCGCCCACAGTACAGAGACTGCGCTTGTGAAAGTCACAAACGACATCTTATCTATCTGTGACCAGGGCACCCTCTTCCTCCTTGTCCTCCTGGACCTCTACGTCGCTTTCTTCCACCGTCTTTCATCGGTCATCCACCTCAGTGGGACCGCACTCGCCGGGTTCGAGTCCTACCTCACAAACCATCAGCATCTGCACAAACGTTATCTCCTCCCGCTCTCCACCGGTTACATGCGGGGTACCTCAATTTTCCATCCTTGGCCTCCCTCCTCTTTCTGATCTACATGCTCTCTCTTGGTGATGTCATCCGCAGACATGGGATACATTTTCATATGTATGCAGAAGACAACCACCTCTCTTTGCGACCCCCAGTCCTCTGATATTCTGTAAGCTGCCTGTCAGATCACAGGGCTGGATGAGCGCAAACTTCCTTCAGCTGAACGTTGAGAAGACGGAAGCCATTCTCTTTGGCACTCGTCAACATCTAAAATCTCACGGTTATCACCTCCTCCACCAACCTGACCTCCCACTAAAACTCTCCGAACCCGTATGCAACATAGGCGTTAGGTTCGTCCCCCAATTATCTTTCCTTCCCCACGTCCTGTCATTCACCAGCGACGCTTTTTTCCACCTCCGTCGCATCGCCCGTCTCAGCCATTACCTCTCCCGAAAAGCCGATGAAACCCTGGTCTATGCCTCTGTCACCTCTCGGCTGGACGACTCTGATGCCCTCCTCGCCGTTCTCCCATCCACTACCATCCACAAAATCCATGTCATCCGGAATTGTAACACGCACGAAACTCCGATCCGCAATCCCCCCATTTCTCGCCAGAGAGCATTGACTGCCTATTCCAGACAGGATCCAATTCAAGATCCTCTGCCTTGTATTGTGTGAGAGAAAGATTACGTGTGTGTGTTTGTTTGTGTGTGCGAGAGAGAGAGAATGATAGAGAATGAGCATGTGCGACACACAGTGAGAGAGTATATGAGAGACACAGAGAGAGGCTGTGTGTGTTTGCAAGAGACAGTGAGAGACTGTGTGCATCTGAGAGAGACTGAGAGAAACTGTACGTGTCAGAGATATATATAAACTGTGCTTGTGTGTGAGACAGAGTGAGACTTTGTGTGTGTGGGAGAGATACAGTTAGACACTGTGCGAGAGAAAGGCAGAGAGAGACTGTGTGTGTGAGTGACATAGAGGGACTGTGTGTGTGAGAGACAGAGAGAGATTGTGTGTGAGAGAAACTGTGTGTGAGTGTGATAGAAAGACAGAGAGAGACTGTGCGTGTCGAGAGACAGAGTGAGAATGTGTCTGTGTGAGAGACAGAATAAGACTGTATGGTTGAGAACGAGAGAGACAGTGTGTGTGTGGGAGAGTAAGAGATTGTGTGTGTGTGAGTGAGAGAGAGAGGCAGAGAGAGAATGTGCGTGTGAGAGATAGACGGGGACTTTGTATGGGAGAGATAGAGAGTTTGTGCGTGTGTGAGATAGAGCGAGATTGTAATACAACAACAAGAGCAACACCAATATTTAATTTATAAAGCGCCTTCCACGTCTGGAGGACGTCCCAAGGCCCTAGACAGTTGGGTCTGGCCCTGGGACGTCGCCGAATTTAGAGTGCGCTTTAAAAACGTAACTTGTTTTACTTTTTGACGGATATTAATAACCAAATTAATATAACTAAAATAATAATAAGAAGAATATCAACTTATATATCGCCCTCGCTCTGCACTGGGCACCGAATCAGTGTGTAATAGTGGCGAATACTAACTCCAAGCCGGGGGAATAATAACAATATTAATCATAATAATAGTGGGCGTGTCTCATGTCAATCACTGGTTACCAGTGATGGAGTAGGCGTGTCTCTCTTTCCTGTCAATCACCCGTTACCAGGGAGACAGTGGGGGCTTCACGCTCTTTCAAGCTGAGCAGCAGTGGTGACGTTACTTGAGTGAGAGCGAAGGAGAGAGATGTGGAGTCCTGTAGCTCAGTGGTTAGAGCATCGCTTTGAAAGTGAGAGACCTGAGTTCAATTCCAGGCAGAGGGCGAAACCTCGGGCAAGTTTCCTTACTCCACACAGAGCCTAATAATAATCCCTCCAAAACCAAAAACAATAATAAATTGGTCATTTTCAATCTACGACTGTTTGTGGGACATTGCTGTGCGCAATTGGCTGCCGCGTTCGCCCACAAACATACAGTCAATTCACTTTACAGTGTGTTCTGTGAAGCGCTTTGGGACGTCCTCCCGACGTGAAAAGCACTATATCAAATGCAAGGATTATTATTATTATTATTATTATGTGCACATGTTACGTGAGGGCAGCACAGAGAGCCGACTCGAGAGAGACGCACACACAGCGGGGAAGCTGTGACGTTCAATGTGGCGGCCCGAACTGGGGAGCAGTGACGTGCAGACAGTCACTCACACACACAGAGGCCGGTAGACCTAACCGATGTACCCGCGTATGCTGCCTGCGCTGCGTCCCGACATCACGTACGTGACGGCGTTAGCGGTGGCGGCTCGAGAGAGAAAGAGGGAAAAGAACAATGGCTGCGGCCCCAGACACAGGGAGAGAGAAGGAGAGAGAAGGGGAGAGAGAGAAAGAAATTGTATGAGAAACCGAGACAGAGAAAGAGAGACAGAAACGAGAAGGAGAGAGACGGGGGTTATAGAGAGAGGGAGAGTGGAGGTGGAGAGAGTGGGAACGAGACAGCCCTGAAATAGAATGAGAGGGAGAGGGATAGTGAGGGGGAGAGACAGACGGTGCTGAATGTCCGCGCAGGAGAAGCTGCTTCACAACCATCTTCAGTGCCTCAGCGACATCTCATTTCTGCATCTGGTCACAACAGATGTCCAGTGACTGTCTATGTGCGTTTGTGTGTCGGAGTGTCATTGCCTGTGTATTTGTGCTTGTGTTTTTTTATCTGTGTATTTTTATCTGTGTATTTTTGTGTCTGTGTGTGTGTGCGCGTGTGTTTGTTTCAGTGAACACATATCAGCGTTTCTCTGTCACGATAAAATCATCAAACTAACCATTTACATCGAAATTGAGCTGAAACAGCGGCAGAATCAATACCGCGGACACAATCTGCAGCGCTAACACATGACACAAAGTTCCTTTGTTCCGACTGAAAAAAACAAGCAACGTTTGTGCAACGTTTGTCACCGATGACATCCCAAGTGTGGAAACCTACGGTTTATAACAATAATGCAATAATAATAATAATAACAACAATAATATCGGCATTTGATGCAGCGCCTCGTCACGTCTTCGAGACGTCTCAAAACGTGATGGACGGAGATGGGACTATCAGGGAACGCAGTCAGATTGCCAGCTCAACCGACCAATCACAAGCTCTGGCTGAGGGGGCGGGTGACTGAATGGACCAATGGAAAGCGAGTGGGCGGGGACAAAATTGACGTCTGGAGAGAACGCGAGGGAAGAAGGAGAGGAGATGATTGACGTGGACCTGGACCTCTCAAGCGCGACTACTGATTGTCGGGGCGGGTGATGCAATGGGCCAATGGGGAGAGAGTCCGTGATCACATGGTCACGGTTGCACAGGAAGCGGAAGGCCGTGAGGAGTAGAGGTGATTGACTCAGACGTGGACCGATCAGAGCGCGGTATCTGCCGGACATTCAGACATAGCCTATGGGAAGCTCCGGCTGAGGAGGCGGGTGTTGGGAACGGACCAATGGGGAGAGAGTGGGCGGGGACAGAGTCAGACCGGGAGGAGGAGAGGCTCAAACATGGCCGAGAATCGCCCGGAGTGACAGCGGCCCCGAGCGGCAAAACAACTGTGGCTGATAGAGGGCGAGGTCAGTGGGAGTCAATAACACAGTGAGAGCGTCTGTGACTGTGGGTGTGAGAGTTTGTAATTGCGAGTGTGAGAGTGAGCGAATGTTTGTGAGAGTCCGTGAGAGTGTGTGAGTTTGTTGGTTTGTGAGTGTGAGAGTGAGTGTGTGTGAGTGTGAGAGACTATGAGAGTGAGAGTTAGAGTGTGTGTGATAGTGTGTGTGTGAGAGTATGTGGGGATGTGGGCGGTAGCCGTGAGGAACCGCAGTGGAGTCCTGTGGCTCAGTGGTTGGAGCACTCGCTTTGCGAGAGAGAGACCTGAGTTCAGTTCCAGGCAGAGGGTGAAACCTCGGGCAAGTTTCCTTACTCCACACAGAGCCTAATAATATTCCCTCCAAAACCAAAAACAATAATAAATTGGTCATTTTCAATCCACGACTGTTTGTGGGACATTGCTGTGCGCAATTGGCTGCCGCGTTCGCCCACAAATATACAGTCAATTCACTTTACAGTGTGTTCTGTGAAGCGCTTTGGGACGTCCTCCCGACGTGAAAAGCGCTATATCAAATGCGAGGATTATTATTATTATTAATTGGTAGCCGTGTTTCACTCACAAAATTCACAATCACTACGCTGTTGTTAATAGCCAACATCTCATTAATATCACACACCCCAATAATAACGTATAACCGATTAATTGCCCACTCACCCCATTAGTACCACAAACCCCATACATAGCACACCCAGTTAATACCTCTTACCCCATTAATATCCCACAGGCCATTAAAAGCCCACACTAATAAACCACACCTCGTTAATATGCTACCCAACCCATTAATATCCCACAACCCATTAATACACCACACTCCTTTAACATCACACACACCATTAATACACCAAACCCCATTAACTCCCCTCTACCCATTAATACCCAACTCCTCATTAATGACCCACAACCTATTAATACCCAATTACATGCGACTAATGCCCCATGCAGCCCATTAATAACGCACCACTTCATTAGTAACCCACACAAGCAACTAATACGCTAAAGGACATTAATAGGCTACATCATATTAATACCCATCATACCACACACATTTTTCACACCTCTTTAATGCCACACTCGCCTTTAATACGTAAAATAGCATTAATACCCCTCACGCCATTAACACCCCACATCTCAGTAATACCCCGTACACCCCATTGGTACACTGCACACCCAACTGATACACCAGAAACTCCAAATTAATAATACCGCACATTTCATTAATGCCACACATTATATTGATACAACGCACCGCATTAATAAACCACACCTCATTAATAACTCATGCTCACCAGTAATATCCCAAACTCCCCATTATTATCACCAACACTCCATCAATACCACACACACTATTAGTACAAAATGCACATTAATGCCACACATCCCATTAATAACCCACATTTCAATAAAAACCCACAACCCATTAATATCACCATCAACAACAAAATTTCATTGAAGTAGCGCCTTTCACGTAGGGATGACGTCTTAAGACGCTGGACATGCCCCATCAATAACTCACACCCCATTTCTACCCCAAAATATCATTGCTACGTCACACACCATTAATATCCCACACCACATTAATAACCGACACCACATTAGTACCCCACACACCCAGTTAATCGCCACAGCAGAATAATATCCCAGAGCCCATTAACACCCGACACACTCCATTAATGCCCAACACACTTCATTAATATTACACACTGCTTTGGTATCACAAATCTCATTGATATAACATGGCCAATTAATGCCACGCACTATACTAATACCATATAATCCATTAATACCTCACAGCCATTAACACCACAGACCCCACTAATACCACACAAAATTAGTAGCCAACAACCCATTAATACCCCATATACCCCATTAATACCACAAACAAACTATGAAAACCCCACACACTCCTTTAATACCCACACCCCATTAATATCCGCAAACCACATTAGTGCACAATCCACAGTAATAGCACACACCACATTGTCATCGCACGCACCATTAATACCGCTACACACTATTAAAACACCACAAACCATTAATACTTAATACACCCCATTAATAACCCACAAGACCATTAATACCGAACATTCCAGTAATGCCCCACACCGCAATAATACCCCGCGCACCACTAATACCAAACAACACATTCATACCAAAAAACATATTAATACCCAATATAATATTTATACCTCGCAACCCATTATTACCACAGACCCCATTAATAAACCACGCCCCATTATTACCCCCCAAACCCGATTAATATCTCACAAACCATTAGCACATCTTACTCTTCACTAGTACCCCCACACGCACACCAATATTATCCCACACAACAAATTAATACCACAGACACCCAATAACATCGCACACATTTTAAAACTGCCACACCCCATTAATACCAAACACACCCTTATTGTCACACAACACAATATTACCCCATACACTATTGATACAACACACCACCCTAATACACTACGCACCATTAATGTCTCACAAACCACATTAAAACCCTACATAACCCATTAAAATCCCAAACACCCCATTAATATCACGCTTCCCATTATTAGCTCATATAACATTACTACCGCACAGCCAGTAATACAATTCACCCCATTGATATCACACACCCCAAAACTTTGTCACACGCCCGGTTAATATCCCACACACCAATATTTTGTCACATACCCCATTAATATCCCACAAACCCCATTAATACCAAACACACCACATTAATTCTCCACACACGCGTGGCTGGAAGTTATGGCCCAGAAGCGTATGTGCTGTGAATGGTAGGTGCTGTAGCTCTAAATAATTATCATATTTTTCTAAATAAACTAAGTTGTAAACTGGATTGTAAGGTTGGAGCACAACAAAGATAGTTGTTCCTAATTTCGTTTCCTAGGCAGGAAGTAATGTCAAAGCAGGCAACGTAGCCATTTTCCTCCTTACAAAATGGTTCCTAGATGTCTCTTCATATCTATGGATGTACACCACATACGGTAGGGTGAAACCTTGGGCAAGTTTGCTAACTCCACATGCTTAACAATAATCACTCCAAAACAAAAATACATTGGTCATTTTCAGTCCACGACTGTTTGTGTGACACCGCTGTGCGCTATCGGCAGCCGCGTTTCGCCCACAAAGATATTGTCAATTCACTTTGCACTCTATTCTGTGAAGCAAGTTAAGATGTTTAGAAATCACGAAAAGCGCTACATCAAATGAAAGGATTATTTTTATTATTAGTGATAATATTCTAAACGCTCCATTATTGACAAACACCCCAATAATACCACATTAAAACCACACACCCATTGATATCCCACCAACCCCACTAATAGCATATACACTCCAGTCATTCACCACAACCCAACAAAAACCCACACACGGTTAATGCTGCAGACACGGTGAATATCCCATACAACCCACTAGTACCCTACACAACCCATTAATATCCCACAACACATTAGTGTCTCACACACCTCATTAATTACCTGCAACCCCTTATTAATCCGCACTCCATTAATACCCTATATCCCATTAATACTCCACACCTAATTATTACCACAGAGCCCACTAATACTCCCCAACCGATTAATACCACACAAACCATATTGCTACAACAAGCATAACATAAATACACCACACACCCCAGTAATGACCCACAAATCCTATTAATATCGCACACCGCATTGGTACCATACAGTAGATAAATACCCCATATGCTATTGGTACCACAGACCACGTTATTACCCATGCACCCCATTAGTATCCAAAGAGCCAATGAATACCCCACATACTCCAATGAAATCAAAAAATGCCACATTATTACCACATACACAACTAACAACCACACACCCCATTGATACCACACACTCCATTGATAACACACACCATTCATACCACAAGCCGCGTTAACACCATGTAGCAGATAAACAAACTATACCCTATTTATACTACACGCCAAATTAAAACCCATTCACTACATTAGTACCCACAGATTCCATGAATACTCCACATACAGCATTAGAATCCAAACCACCACATTCATTGCACGCACCCCATTACTACCACATGCAAAAATTACAACCAAATAACCCATTGACACTACATACCCCATTAGTATCCCACAAAATCCAGAAAAAATATTAAACTAATACTAGTAGACATAGCACATTAATACGCAACACACCACATTAATACCCAACACACCATTAATACCACACACACCATAAATATGCGCACCCCATTAATACCCCACAACCCATTAATAAACCACAACAGAAAAAAATAACGCATATCCCCATAATATATACCCCATTGATAAACCTCACCCCGTTAATACCCCACACCCCTGTAATACCACAACCCATTAATACACCACACACCACACTAATACCCCACACATCATTATTTGTCCCACACACCATTAATATCCCACACCCAATTAATATCCCATATATCCCAGTAATACGGTACACAATCCATTAATAACGTACAGCCAATTAATATCCCACACACCCCATTAATACCCCTTAGTTCTTTATTACCACACATCTCATTGATCTGCACACTCTGTTACTATCACACATCCCATCAATGCCCACACCCTATTAATACTGCACACCTGATTAATACCACATACAACTCAGTAGTACTCTACAAAACCCATGAATAACGCACAGCAAATTAGTATCTCACACACCCCATTAATACCAATTACCCCTTTGTTACCACACACTCCATTAATACAACAAACGCTGTTAATATCATGCAACTCCTTCAGGCCCACATAGCCCATTATTAAAACTCCATTAAACTCCATACCCCAATAATACCCCACACATATGAATGCCACAAACCTCATTAATGCTTCACACCCGATTAATACCACATACACCCCATTAACACTCTACACAACCCATTAATACGCACAGCAATTTATAATCCCACACAGCCCATTATTACCAATTACTCCCTTATTACCACACACACCATTATTACAGCAGATCTGCTAATATCACACATCCCATTAATACTCCACAGCCCATTACTAAACTGCATTAAACTCCGCACCCCACTCATGCCTCATACACTAGTGATGCCCCACACCCCATTAATACTGCACACCTGATTAATGCCCCATGAACCCCATTAATACCCTTCACAATCCATCAATACCACACAGAATATTAATATCCCACACACCCCTTTGAAACCACATACCGCTTTATTATCACACAGCCCTTTAATGCAACACACTCTGTTAATATCCCACAGCCCGTTACTGAAACTCCATTAAACGCCATATCCCATTAATATCCCATTATCCCATCGATTTCAAGATCCTCATCCTCACCTACAAGGCCATTCACGGCCTTGTTCCCTCCTATCTCACTGACCTACTATCCCCGTACCTACCTGCCCTTACCTCCGTTCCTCTGGCTCCGGTCTGCTCCACATCCCCCGCCCTACTGTCGGTGTCCGGGCCTTCAGCCTCTCAGCCCCTAGGCTTTGGAACGCTATCCCCCAGTGCCTTCGCCTTGCCTCCTTCCTTTCCTCCTTCAAGGCCGGTCTCAAGACATTTCTCTTTGACCGAGCCTTCGGCTCCCCTCTTGACTCTCTACACCCCTACTCGCTCCCTTCCCTTCCCTCACCCTGACCATTTCCCTCCTGCTCGGGTCCTGACCCAACTTTACAGCGCCTTGGGACGTCCTCCTGACGTGAAAGGCGCTCTATAAATGGAATCTTGTTGTTGTTGTTGTAATACCCCAATTCCCATTAATACGCCCACAACCCATTAATACCTCACAGCACATTAATAACACACACCCATTCAGCACACCCCTTCATGACCTAACCCTAACCACATTAATACCGCAAACTCCATTGATATCCTATACCACATTAATGTACCACACCTCATTATTATCCCACAGCCCATCATTAAAACTCTATTAAACTCCATACCGCTTTAATATGCCACTTCTCATTAATACCCCACACCCCGTTAATCTTTCACAATCCACTAAAACTCCATGAACATTATTAGCACCTCACACACCCAAGTAGTTGCCCACACACCCGGTTGATAAATCAAAGAACCGATTAGCACCATACAGCCCATTAATACAATATTGAACATTAATAACACAAACTCCATTAATACCGCGCACGCCATTAGTACACCACACACCATTAATATAACACACATACCATTAATACCACACAACTCATCATGCCAAACATCTCATTAATGCCACATTTCAATGATAGCTACTCGATATCTCACATTCCACTGATAAACCACACCCCGTTGATATGCAAACAGCCCATCAATAGTGCGCAAAGACCATTAATATTACACAAACTCCAAAACAGCTCATTAATAACTGACACACCCCATTAATAATCAACACCACATTGATACCCTACACACCCCATTACTACACAACACAACTCATTAATGCACCACAAATATTTAATACCACACAGTCCATTAACAAACCGCAACCCATTAATACCCCTCACCACACAAAAACCAAACAACTCATTAATATCCTATATACCATTCACATCCTATTACGTCCAATTAGTATTCCATGTAGCTCACCATTACCCGACACACTCCATTAGCATCGTACACAATCAACTAATATGTCAAAACCCATTAATACCCACACAATCCACTAATACCCGACACAGCCCATTAATACCCCATACCACTTTAATACACCACATATCTTTAATACATCACATGCCGTTAATACCTCTCACCATATTAATGGCCCACACCGAATTAATGCCCCATTCAACATTAAAACTCCAAACGCACCATTGGTACAACACAGACACCATGAAAACAACACAAATCCGTTAAAACCCCATTGCTACCATACATTCCATTAACGTCACACAACGCATGAAAAAAACTCAACTCATTAATATCCTAAGCAACATTATTACCATATACACCATCAATACCACTAAAAACGTTCGTACAAAAATTCACATTGACACCATACATCCCATTAATAACCCACAACCCATTAATGCCGCATGCCCCACTCATACGCCACAACCCATTAATACCACACACCCCTTCAACACACCTCTTCAAAACCTAACCAATACCCCGTTTATACCCCCAAACCCATTGATAACGCACAACCCATTAATATCCGATAACCCTTTAAATAAACAGAACCCATTAATATCCCACACACCAAATTCATTCCCACAACACATTAATATCCCAGAGCCCATCAATACCACCCGCACGCAATGATAGCCAAAACACTCCATTAATAGCCCACACATTTTTAATACCACACAATCCATTAATACACCTAATCCTATTAATAAACCCCAGCCCATTAGCAGCCCACACCACATTTATACCCCACAACCGAGTAGTGTCCAATAAATCCCATTAATAGGCCACACACCACATTAGTAACCCAAATGCTCAATTGACACTGCATTATTGCCACATACTCCATTAGTGTCCCACACACCAAATTAATACCGCACACCCCATTAATACCCCACAAATCGTTTATACGCCGCTCAAAATTAATACCGCATATACGTCATTAATATCAGAAAACTACGTTAATATGCCATACATCTCATTAATATCCCCACACCACACTGAGATCCCGAACACCCAATTAATACCACGTACCACCATAATACCACGCACTACATTAATACCACACACGCAATCAATGCTTCACCACCCATTAACAGGCCACACCTCATTAATACCCCACACCCCATTAATAACCCACACAACATTAGTACCCAAACGCACCCCACTTATACCACACAGAAATCAAAATATTACCCCTCAATCCCCATTAATACCACAAACCCCATTAATAAGACACACTCCTTTAATACCATACAGCCCATTGACAACACAAGCCCCATTAATACCACACACTCCATTAATAACAAACACCCCATTAATACTCCCCACCCCATTAATAACTCACACCACATTAATAATCTGCACCTCATGTGTACCACACTAATACCCCGCAATCTCATTCGCACCACACAACCAAGTAATATCCCATACGCCATTAATACATCAGACGCTACTAATATGCAAAGCCATTTAATAGCACCCACAACCCATTAATACCACACATACTATATTAACACCTCACACTCCCCTTAATACCACACAACCATTGATGCCTCATATCCCATTAATAGAACAAGCCACATTAATAACACTCACCCCACTAATACCATACAAAACATTAATAGCCGACGCCCCGTTAATACCCTACAAATAACTCACACACCCCTTTAAAACTCACATGCAATTAGTATCCTAAAAAACAATTAATACCGCACACTCCATTGATACCACGTGCTACAATAATACCACACACCCCATTGATACCTCACACAAGTTGATATCAGACACCCCATTAATAAGTCACACATAATATTTATACCCAAACAAACCAATTAATACCCCACACTCCCCATTAATAATCCAAAAGCAGAGGGACAACAGGCAGAGCAGATCGTCCGGCAACTGGTGCTATAGACTGTATCCTTCGTGTTTCCGTCGATACCAGATTTGGGGAGAGACAAGTGGGAGAGTCGTGTGAGATGATAGCTGCTGAGAGAAGGAGTCACTACCGAGAGAGGGAGAGCAGAAGGAAACGAGAAAGAGAAGTCCTATCAGCACATCATCACTAACCGGGTAATATAGTTCTATTGGATACTACTGGGTCATTCAACAACAACGGCAACAACTTCGATTTATATAGCGCCCTCCACGCCGTACGGCGTCACAGAGCACTTTCATATCTGACTTAGAGTGTCATCCATTCTGATGTTGTACTGTTTTTTTTAACCATCGTATTAACGTGTATGTCTTGATAACTGTTAATCAAACCATATCCGAACATCATAAATCAAGTGAATATGATGTGCATAGTTCGTTAAATAAAACCATATACTCTCATGTTAATTATGTTATGCTATGCTTCATACTCGAGCGAGTTGAATGTGACGAACGAATCATCTATCTAATACTAAAACGAGTGTGTATACCGTAACTACCTATGGGATTTTTACCGACTAAAAACACTAGCTTTTTTTTTACTGAACAATACTTAGTGATAACACTGTCATTTTAAATTAAAAAGAAGTAAGCTATACCGAGCGTCCCTGTGTCTCAATGATTGCCACAGGATTTATTGTTTCCCGAGTCATTGTGATCTGATAATAAATCCGGGAGCCCATAGGGTGAAGCGTTCTAAGGTAACCTGGACCAAGTTAACATTGGGGATCAGAGATCTCAACAAGCCTTACACACACACAAACCTACACACACGGCCACACTCATCATTGTGGAGTCCTGTAGCTCAGTGGTTAGAGCACTCGCTTTGCAAGCGAGAGACCTGAGTTCAATTCCAGGCAGAGGGCAAAACCTTTAGCAAGTTTCCTTACTCCAACACACCTAATAATAATCCCTCCAAAACCAAAAACAATAATAAATTGGTCATTTTCAATCCACGACTGTTTGTGGGACATTGCGCTATTGGCCGCCGCGTTCGCCCACAAATATACAGTCAATTCACTTTACAGTGTGTTCTGTGAAGCGCTTTGGGACGTCCTCCCGACGTGAAAAGCGCTATATCAAATGCGAGGATTATTATTATTATTGTGGACACATTATAACTTCTCTCTCTCTCTCTCTCTCTTTCACTCTGTCTCTCTCTCTCCCACACACCCACACACACAGCGCCACATTCAGCACTGGTGGCACTTTACAGTCGCTCTCATATATTGACAAACAACACCAGCGCCACCATCAACAATTCGGGAATATTACCCCTTCGCGCACACACACATGTGCCCATAAATCGCTTCGCTCCGCACCGGCGGCGCATTGGAATCTCTCGCGCGCACAACCACACAAACACACGGCCATTCTCAGCACTGGAGCACAGTAAAGCCTCTGTCACAGATACACACCGACAAACATACAGTGGCGGCGCCTCACAGTCGCTCTCTGTCTCCCTCTCTCACACAAACACATAGACACACACATGGAGCTATTCTCAGCACTACGGGGCATATTACGGATTGACACAGACTCACACAAACACACAAGTGCACACAGATACACCCTCAGCGCGTGCGGCACATTACAGCGTCTCCCAAACATAGACACAGTAGCCCATACACATCGCCCCCTTAGCACTGGCGGCACATGACGCACTCTCTCTCTCTCTCTCTCACACACACACACACACACTGGGGGCGCACCTCTCAGGCACAGACACAAAGTCACAGCGCCATAGTCAGGATTGGGGGCACATTACTGCGTGTCGCACACACAGCGCTATCCTCGGGACTGGCGACAGACTGCAGTCTCTCCCACACATTCACAGAGACACAGAGCGACGTATGCAGTACTCTGTTCACATTATACTCTCTCTCACACATACACACACAAAGGGAACCTCCGGCCCGGGGGGTAGGTTCCAGCTTCTCAAACAGACACCGCCACCCTCAGCGCTGTGGGCACATCACATCCTCTCTCTCTCACACACACAAGCAAACACGCAACGCCACCTCCAAACTCGGGACACATAATACCCATCTCTCTCGCTCTCTCACACACTGCGCCAACCTCACCACTGTGGGTAATTTGCAGACTCTCTCACATACACACAAACATACCAACCTACACACATACATGCAAACACATTTAACATAACATAACATTACATGCAGGAGCAGGAGTAGGCCATTCGGTCCTTGGAGCCTGCTCCGCAATTCAATCGTGACTGATCTTCTCATCTCAGTCCAGCAAGTAACCTAACACTGCCTTATCCACATATCCCTTAATCCCCTTTGCAATAAGACATATATCTATCTCAGTCTTGAATATGTTGAAGGACTGAGCGTCAACAGCCCTTTGGGGTAGTGAGTTGCATATATTCACCACCGTTTGATTGAATAGGTTCTTCCTCAACTCAACGCGAAAGGGCTGCCTCTGATTTCAAGTTTGTTTTAATTTCTCCAACCAGGGGAAGCAATCTCCCACTATTTAATCTATCACACCCTTTGATGATCTTATAGGTTTCTATAAGATCCCTTCTATTTCTTCTATTTTCAGAAAGTATAGGTCAAAATTTGTCAGCCTATCCTCGTAACTGATCCCCTGCATCCCTGGTACTAACCAAGTAAATCTACAACATCTATCACACACACATACACACATACACAAACACACACACACAGCGCAACCTCAGTACTCTCGGCACAATAAAGCTACTCTCTCCCCCTGCAATCGGGTACATTAGCGATTCTGACACACACAGCCCCACTCTCAGCACTGCAGTCACATACACAAATGCAAACACACTCACATACAGCGCTTGCCTCAGCACTGGAGGCACATTGCAGACTCTCTCACAGACACTTACACACTCACACATAACATGGCATCCAAACCGATCCCTGAGCGTCCGATTGCAAAATAAGAACGCTTTGTACGTCAGGGATATATAACACTGCACACAATTGATTTAACGGCATTAAAGGCATCTGTTATCCACACAGACCAGTTCAAATTATTTCTGATTGATGTATGACTTTTTGGTCCACACTAAGAGCCTTTTTCAGATTGGTTAAACAAAGGGAAACGGTATTTGTAAACACTATTTCATTCGTGATGCTGTGGTGAAGTATGAATTGACACAAATTTCCTTGCAAACAATATTTTTTCATAATATTTTAGATAGCTGATACATTATCAAAATTATAAATTTCATCAAATCAAATGATACGTATGACTGTTTCGTCAACAAAGTACTGCTTAGGATGGGTTAGTGAAGTTCACTGCAATTGGTTGATCGGATCAATATAGTGGCTTTGATGTCGGATTCGCTTGGGGGTACATTTTCCATCAGCTGATTCTGATTGTCATTCGACAGGTCAGTTGATCAATATAAGCGTTTTGTAAATTGAATTGAAATAGATTATCAGCCCTGGTTGACCCCACCTTCCTGGCAGCCAAGAGCCGGATCCCCTGTTTGAGAAACGTTGCATAAAGAATAGATCTGTGTTTCCATTCCAGAATGGAATCGGAGTCCTGTAGCTCAATGGTTAGAGCACTCGCTTTGCAAGTGAGAGACCTGAGTTCAATTCCAGGCAGAGGGCGAAACCTCGGGCAAGTTTCCTTACTCCACACAGAGCCTAATAATAATCCCTCCAAAAAAAAAAAAACAATAATAAATTGGTCATTTTCAATCTACGACTGTTTGTGGGACATTGCTGTGCGCAATTGGCTGCCGCGTTCGCCCACAAATATACAGTCAATTCACTTTACAGTGTGTTCTGTGAAGCGCTTTGGGACGTCCTCCCGACGTGAAAAGCGCTATATCAAATGCAAGGATTATTATTATTATTAGAATCACAACAATTATACATTGAAATTTTCACATCGGAAATACGGACAGAAAGTTCCCTTCCGTGCCGCAGATTTTTATAGACCTATAAAGGTACTTTATTTTCCAAATAGTCTTTTAATATTTTCGACAACAATGATTTGCATATATATAGTGCCCAACGCGCGGGAAGCGTAAAGGAGCGGTTAATATTTGGTAGCCTGACACAAAGCGAACAGAAATATGAGGTGATTTCTGGCGCTGGGCAAAGACTAAAGATGTGGTCTGAGGGTAGAGTGCTGCCAACTGAGCCTAGGTAACATCTTAATAGATTAAAAAAGAACTAATGAATTATAGGCCTAAAGACAAATATTAATAATAGACAAAAAATGGATTAAGAAACATATCAAATAAATAATATCGCAGTTATAAATTAATCCAAAGATTGAGGTAACTCCCCAAACCTCCTGTTACACCTTAAGTTATGTGCTGACTAATTTTGTGAAAATATTTGCGCAATCTCAATTTACAACAGCGATCGACAACATTCCTCTTTGAAAACGGCAATGGATGTCAATTTAGAACAACAGAAATAGCTGCCAACGTAAGAAAGAACATTGCAGTACAGGTTGAACAGCGATCAGAGTTTCTGCGGTGGATTATTATCTTACACATTATCTTGTGGTAGATTGTTACGTGCAGCTGAGCACATTTGTTTTGACTCAGCTCTTAAAATAAATCTCTTGACTATTCTCAATTTTGAAGCAGAGAGTGAAGGAAGACATACACTAAGAAACAAAATACACAATAGGAAAATAATGTGCAAAGTCAGATTTACACTTTCCAAAAAGAGAGAAGATGTTTCTGTAATACAAGACTTCCGTTTTTTTATCGCTATTCCAACTCGATAAAAATGTCGAAATGCTTTTAAAAATATTAAAAGCGAGGTTAGAAAACAAAGTACATTCATAGGATAATAGAATGTGCACCACGGAACAGGGGAAATTGCCTTGCCCTTTGTCCAGGTTAAATAGAGGAAAGCATGGCTTGCTTCCAAAAATTACAGACTAAATGTTACTGCATTTTCAACAATTCCCTGAACATTATTGAATGGCTGATAGTCAATGAAGTAAGTACCTTTCCGTCCGTTTTACTAAAGAACAGCATTTGTTTTCAAAGATATGAATCTTCAGAAATGTTGAAGTGTCATAAATAGAGTGAAAACTTTTCTGCATTCTGAAAAAATCCCAGATTCTATCGAAATAGAAAATAATTTTGCACATTTCACCAGGATTTTGAGCTTTATGATCAATGGTGAATTATAAGCATTTGTGTTGCGGTATTTCATAACATAAGACACTAAATGGAGGAGACTGTCTGCAGCCCGATTGCAGTTGGGAGGATTGCACATCTCAAACACCCTCTGAAAATAGACCCTAAAACCGCACTTTGCAATTTTGGTAGTTACCCTTAAACCTACACAGTTGGAAACAGCGATAAAAAATGCTACTTATCACAATCAAAGCTCTCTTGGTCAATCCTGCTTATCTTAACTTTTAAGAAAGAATAAGACATTTTTGGGGGGAGGACAAGTTTGCAGAGCAATCAAAAGACAGTGGGGTATTGGGATTCAATTGTCAGCTCTTTTCCAAGAGCTGGCAAAGACAAATTGTGCTGAATGAACTCATTATTTAGTGTGCAATTCTATGATTCGGTAAATTAAATCTCTCTCGATCAGTTCTGTTCAAATCCATCTC